CCCCACCGCCGTTCCTCTGAGAGGTCAGAGTAGCTTTGGTTTAGCCCTCTTGGTAGTCAAGCTGTATCCACCAAGCTAGATCCCAAGTACAGGGTAAGTATCTACTGAATTCATTGAGCTGGTTGTCATGGAACTTCACAGGACATCTTGAACTTCTACTGGAAGGAATTAAGCTCAAAAACCTAGTCTTGTCTTGAGGTGGGAAGGAATGGACTGAGCAATGAATTTAAAATGCTGATAGGGAAATCTTGTGTAGTCAAAATAGATTATTATTTTATTTCTATCCTCTTCTTCAGAAGATTTGAGGCAGCTCAAATGAGAACAGGTAATAAAAAATAATAGGAAAATAAAAATAGAAACAAAAAAAATCAAGACCAGGAAAAACATAAAAAAAAAAAAAGGCCAGGGAAAAAAGACCAAATGGGTTTTCTACAGCACTGTAATAATCAGCTTCAAATCTGGCTCTGAGTTTCCTGGCAGACAAAGTGAAAAGGGAAACCAGTTACATAATTCTGATTATTAGATAGGAAGAAACATACCAGTGTCTCAGGGAGAGATTATAATTATTATTCACCAGTAAAGACCTTAAATCCAATACCTCCCAAGGCTGTAAGAGTAGCAGTTCTAAAAACCAAAGGCCCAGAAATTGTTGGTGTTTTTTTTCAAGAATTACAGACAGGCTTGTTATACAACCTTTAAAGAAATGGCTGCTGCTATTATAAAAGTATCCCCAGGAGATAAATGAGTCCATAAGGGATTCATAATGTTGCTAAACCTCTGGTTCTAATTAGGTAGTTCTTGCTAGTATTTCTGAAATACATAGAAATGAAAGCTGTTTGGTGGGAGAGGGGAAGAAAGCCATTTCTAAATAGCAGGTGATGTTCAAAAAGCAGCTGCACACCACCTAATACTGAACAGGAGATACACATACAAAGCAGAGGGTTGAATAAGCTGTCCTCACAAGCCCCTTCTAATTCTGAAGTTCTAAGGTCATGTTTTTCCATGAGGAAATTTGCCCATCTTGTTTACAGTATATCCCTAGAAGCTAGTATATTATTCATATTCAATGACTATGAGCTGACTGAATAATTATTCACATTTGCCTATCTCTATATAAACAAGAATAACCTGAAAGAATTGAACTTACAGGCAGCACTGAGTACTCCTAGAGAATTCTTTTAAAGAGCTTCAATAAGTTCCACTCTCCCATACTGGTCACCCAGCTGGGATGGGTCTATCTAGCTATAGTTTTCTAAACTACAAATGGGGGACTAACTGTATATGAAACATAGGAGATGCTCAAAATAATGGCCATATAAAGATTGGAATTTTATTCAATCCATATATACAATTAAAGAACTTTCTTTTTTTGTTTTTTTGTTTTTTTTTTAAAGAAACATGGGTTACAAGTAGGCTGGAGCCCAGATCAGCGTGGAGTGAAAAAGCATTTGTGAAGGGCTGATTGTGCATGTCCCTGTGTGAAGCTTTGTCCCAAAAGAGACAGAATGGCTCTGTCTCTTTTGCTGGCCAGAACCCCAGTTGTGCAACAGAACCACAGCAAGTACTTGATGACTAAGACCGCAGATCTCCAAAAATACAACAAACAACATGAGAAAGTCTCATCAGATTTTCCTCGCATTCACTGGCACCGAGCCCTGTTTTGTCAAATAATACTTACAACAGGGCCACTTTCAGAGGGATGTAACGCATTTCCATAGGGGTTCGGATGAGTTCGGCCACATCTGGGGCATACTGGTCTAGTTCTAGGAGGAGTTTCTGCTTTTTAAACTGGAAAAAAAAAATGACAAAACACATTACTTCCCATTGCTTTTAGAATGAAGACAGTAGTCCTTCCATGGCCCACATGGCCCCACCTGGTCTGGCCCTACCTCTCCAGGTTCATCTCATACCCACCTCTCGCCTCACCTCTCATTTTCTGGGTTCTGGCATCATGAACATGCCATACCCCTCCTGCTCCCAGGCCTTTGCATTTGAATTGGAACAACCTCTTCTTCTCTTTCCTTATTAGCTCCCACATAGTCTTTAGATCTGTTAAATCATTTCTTCCTCAGGAAGGCACACTAACCCCCTTCAAGTAGGTAAAATGTCCCTATTAATACACATTCTATCATAGCGCTGTTCACAGTTATGACTTTTTTATTTATGTGACTAATATCTGTCTCCCTCACTAGACTATGAGTTCCATGAGGACAGGGACCATGTTTTTGCCAATAATTTCCAATACCTGGCACGGTGAGCAAACAATAAATATCTATTGAATGACTGAATGAATAAATGGCAAAGCAATGTTCCCAGCCCTGTTGAAGAGTTACCATGAGTGGCCTAAGAACTCCAAAGTTCCATCAGCAAAGTGAAATATTTTCATGCAAAGTAAAATGATCCCCTGAATATCACAGTATCTCAGGTTTTCTTCCATGTTCTCCTGTTTCAAGTTTTTGACTCCCACAGAGGAAGTGGGGAATGGCCATGATGAAGAAAAGGAGGAGGGCTGGGTGTGGCTGGGCAGCTGGAGAGTCAGGAGGGAGTGAGATGGGGGTGGAAAGCTCTTGCCTTCCCCTGGTATGTCCCAACAAGTTCATGGGTGTGCTCCAGAATGAAAAAAAGTTAGGCAACCCTATAAGCAAACATGGGTCAGACTATAGATGGAAAAAGCCTCTGAACCCCAAATGGGTAGCCTTGCTGATTTAATGGCCCAAGAATCTTATTTCGACAGGATAAATTCAAAGCTGCAACCAATTATAAAAGAGAGTAGTGCAGAGATGTCAGAGTAGCAAGTGTGCAGGATTAAAGATTTAATGATAAAAAAATGCATGTACAGAACATTGCACTATACCATTTACACAAAGTTAAAAGCATGCAAAATAATACTACGTGTTATTTAGGTATATATGCAAAAGTAGTAGAAGTTAAGGCCCTGTGTGGGGACAATAAACACTAAATTCACAACAGTGGTAACTGGTGAGAGGAAGAATAAGGAGATGAAAGTCTCAGAGGCAACTTTATGTGTAATGTTTTATTTTTTAAGTTGAAGTAAGTTCACAGTACATATTATTCTTTACATATTTTTGTATGTCTTAGGTATTTCAGAATTTTTTTAAATGGAAAATTAAAAAAAAATTTAAAGATCCATTTTTCAATTCAAAAGAAAAGTAGAGAAGTTATCACAGGAACACAGGTAAGCCCAGATTTCTTGCACAAATTTAGTAGTAAAGGGTTAATCAGAAAACCAGAACAACCTTCAAAAACCTCCTTTGATCATCTCTGAGAGTTCAGGTTAAACAGTGGGAATTATCATCGGTAAATGTTAGGCTACCATGCACATCTGGGATTGTTTAATTAAAAAGACAATATATAAACTACAGTTTTTTTTTTTTTTCAACGTTTATTTATTTTTGGGACAGAGAGAGACAGAGCATGAACGGGGGAGGGGCAGAGAGAGAGGGAGACACAGAATCGGAAACAGGCTCCAGGCTCTGAGCCATCAGCCCAGAGCCCGACGCGGGGCTCGAACTCACGGACCGCGAGATCGTGACCTGGCTGAAGTCGGACGCCCAACCGACTGCGCCACCCAGGCGCCCCAAAACTACAGTGTTTTTATCAGAGAGGAGGGGGCCAGCTCAGCAGACAGAGCACTTAGTGAGGACAGCTGCAGCAGTGGTAGAGGAAGGAGGCCCTGCTAGCTAAGGGTCCCTGAGTTCCTGCAAAAAGAAGGCCACCTGGCTGGGGGCAGATCCTCAAAGAAGCCTGTTGAAGGGAAGCAGGGAGTCAATCCAGGAGCAGCCAGAGATACAGGTGGGAATGCAGACCCAGTCCCCAGGCTGGAAGCCTGCCATCCGGACTATAGGAAGGGATGGGGACAGCTAAACAGGTATGTGCAGATCCTGGGCAGAGGTGACCCTATGGCAACAACTAAAGAAAAGTACTTCCTAATAACTCCAATCTTCCAAAATACTTTGAAACAGAAAGATTTATAAAAGGAGAGCCTGCAGGAGAGAAAGGCAATCAGGTCAGCAGTCCCCAGATTCTCTGCTATCTCTTTTTGTCTCCCCCCAAGCTCACCAGCAAAGCCCCCATGATGCCTGGCCTCATGGTCCCAATTATTGACTCAGCTCCCCCGAAGAACAGCCAAACTCCCTTTTAAAAATCCCCACTGGATCCAGTCAGAGACAGGAAAATGACTAAAAGTCAAAGGAAAAGCGAATACACACACACTAAGAAAATGTTAAAGTATAAAAATAAGTGAGGTTAAGGAGTACAAGTTAAAATCCAAAGATAAATATTTCTATATATTCAGCAGCCTTGACAATGATGAGATTTAAAACTATCATAAGAGAGATTAAAAGTGGCCTAAAAGGAAATTACCTGAGTGATCATTACCTCTGTGATCATTAATCACCTCATACACAGATGCCTGTGCACTTTTCCATATGTGTGTTGTATTTCAATAGACATTTTTAATTAAAAAATAAATCTCCAGGGTGGAGTTTTCTTTCCCTTCTATCCACTTCTCTATGCAGCCTTTCCTTGTCCTTACAAGATTTGGTTTTACAAGGACATTATTCCCCTGCTTCAAATAAACAGCTTTTTCTAATAATTGAATCTGTGTCTATACCAATTTGCAACCCCCAAAACTAGGGTGTCCAGAGGTGGAGTAGTGAATACTCCTCCCCCACATCTCTGTTAGCCTCACCACATTCCAAGTTCAGGAGTCTATGCTCCAAATTTACAACCCTCTAATCACATTAAGGGAAGACACATTTTTATCACTCTCCCTCAAACTACAAGCAACTTTCTAACACGAATTCTGAGTCCCAAATAGGAAGTACAATCTCAGCAAAGGACAGACTAGATTAACAACAATGCTTTTGTCAAGTAAGGTAGATGTAAAATGTGAGAATCCACTGGTCACAATCAATCAGCATTCATATTCCATAGGCTAACAGCTGGAGAAGGGCTAGGAATGGAACCCACCTTTGCACCATAGTTTTCCAGAACACGTTTGAGTACAGACACAGCTTTGTTACCAGGGATCTGGTCTTAAATCCCAGCAAGACTAAAATTCTTCCACATGCTATGGGCCCATTCTGACAAAGTGGGGAAGATTTGGGGGAAGATATGTGCTGATACTCTATCCACATCATCAAAAATCTGCCATTCAGAATAAGTTAATTTTTGACACAGTGTAAATAAAACTCTTGTTCTGACCAAGAAACCTAATGTTCCAATAGGCTGAATTCTGAGGATGGAGAAACAAAACTACTCCAAATTTCAATTCAGTCTTGGTGACAACAGAATGTTTTGGTGTGTTAAAAAACAGGGTATCTCACCAGAAAGTCTTCATTCAATGTTCCCAACACTGGTCAAGTTTCCAAGTTTAATTAATACACACCTAAACCAAATGCTCCCCCATAGAAAGTGACCTTAGATGGCCAAGTATCTTTTTGCTTAATATAGAGGGGAAGGAATTTAGAGGTTTCAGAAATGCTTGATGAGAGCATTTAT